TGTTAATTATGCAATTATGTGTCCATTTTATGAAATATTTAAGTGTTGTATGTGCCAGGCACAGGCTAGTTCTAGTGAGACAGCAGTGAGCAGCAAAGTCAGCACTCAGAGTTCAGAGTCCAGGCATGAGGGTCCAGTCTGTCCTACAGGAAGGCAAATGACTAATGCTCTTTGCTTTGCCTTAGAAAACGATCTGGTACATTTCTGAAATCGAAAAAACTAAGTTGTACCAGGATATGACAAATAACGATCCTAATATCCTAAATGTGATATTTTATTTTATGTTGTTTTAAAATAAATTCATTCCTCTTGAGGTTTCATGTTTCTGTGCAGCTTCTGACAAAATGAATTTTGTATACAATATAGTCAAAGTGTCCAGAAAGATTGGGTTCAGAATTGGTAAAGATCTCATAGAATGGAATTATTCCTTGGAATAAAAGTCCCACACTTTGCTCTAACAGGATGTGTGGTTTTATATACAGCAGAAGTAAGTGTACATTTACTAGTATATTGTTCAAAAGCAGAAGTTCTAAACCTGGGAACTTTCGCCTTGCTTATATTTTCAAACTAAAAAATATTTTATTCTGTTAGGTACAAAATGGCATTGTCTCCATTTATAACAGCTGGGGACACAAAGTTTTTCACGTTTGGTGTGGTTTCCTCTGCTGAATAGCCATGGCATATTGGAAATATTTCTGCTCCTGTCTTGGCTGCATGACGTCTTTCCTAACCTAATTCCCCTGTCACTTACCGTTCATTGTCATCACCAGTTTCACTGATGGTTAAATCTTTCCGTCATTGCTAGACCTTCCTAAATGTTACTCAGTTCTTACAGTTTTTGTTATAGAGATCTTGCATACTTTCATTTCATTTCTTCCTAGGTACCTTCATGGTTTTCATAGGGTATCTCTTCAGTCTTTTATTTGGAATTTAAGTTACTCTCCACTGAAATTTTATCCAGTAACTGCGATAAAAACTCTTATTCTTTCTAGAAACTTATGTTCTTTTAGCCCCATGGTTCTCAACCTTCCTAATATAGTTCTCATGTGGTTGTGGTCCCCAACCATAAAATTATTTTTGTTGCTACTTCATAACTGTAGTTTTGCTGTAGTTATGAATTGTAATGTAGATCTGTTTTTTCCAACCACCCCTGTGAAAAGGTCATTCAGTCCCCCCCCCCAAGGGATTACAACCCACAGGTTGAGAACCACTGTTTTAGGTGGTCATATGTGCTATGAATGATTATTTTTTCCTCCCAGATATAATACTGTTTTGTGGCTTTATCTTCCTTTACTCTTGGCTGCAGCCTCTGCTTGCCACACTGGTAATGGAAGATAGAAGGAGTCATGTTTGAACAGTCCTGTGGCTCATAGCTAACGCTCAAGTGTCATTGTTTCCCCATTTGCTGTTCCCTGCATGGTTTTAATGAGGCATCTGTGCCACTTTTCTTGTTAAAGAACTTCCTTCTCATCCATGGGCTGCTGTGAAGTTTTGAGGTGAGTTAACAGTGACTGCACTAACCGAAAAGGACCATTTTTCTGAGCGTGTTACTATGGTGCTCACACTGCTAGGTTTTCTAAGATTAAGTCATCCATACACTTTGAACACTTGAGAGGTGGTAGAACCAACCGAGAGGAGGTGGGCCAGTCAAGGGAGTTAGGGGAGGGACAGATCTTTGAACTCATAAATAGAACCCTGGTGCCAATTCATGTTGTTGCGCTCTCTTTGAAATGATCAGCTTTGCAAGACAACTTGCTCCCTTACATGATGCAGTCTCATCACAGAACCCAACAGGAAGGAACCTTACAAGTTGTTAACTTCGGGCATTTTACCCCAACAGTAGGGTGCTATCATAATACACAGGGGTAGGCAGACATCTTTTCAGGACTCTGTCCTTAGTTCTTTTAGGTATAAAACCAGAAATGGAGTTGCTAGGTAGTGTGGTCCTTTTGTTTTTAGCATTTTTTTTTCTCATTTTTTTTAAATTCCCACAATGTATGACGTCTTGAGATTGACAATGTATGCCATCAATTCCAGTAATTCAAAAAAGAAATGATGTAATTTAAGCACATGAAATGAATTATTATATGCTTTATGGGAGTTTTTTTTTAAATTGTTTAAAAGCCTAAAATGTACTCATAAGAATGGGATGTATTGCTCTGTGTATATGCTGTAATGTTGAGATCAGGGTAAGTGTTTCTCCTCAAGAGGGTGTTTGTTTTTATGTCTGTGGGTCTTTGGCCTGCATTTGTGTCTGTGTACCACTTGCATGCCAGAAGATAGCAGTAGATTCCCTAGAACTGAAGTTAGATAGCTGTGAGCCACTATGTCAGTGCTGGGAATCAGACCTGGGTCTTCTGAAAAAGCAGTCAGTCAACCACTAGGCCATTTCTCCAGCCCCAGGTATATAGTTTCTTTATGGTAAAAGTCTTCATAGCCCTTCCTCTCAGGCTTTTGGAAATATACAGTACATTGTTGTTTTCTGTAGCTGCCCCAGTACAGAGGCACAGAACTTAAGGCATATTGATTGGGTGTGTATATAAATTTACTGATCATGTCTGTTCTTCATTCTCTTCATTTCTCATCCCCCACACCCACCCCATGCCTTCTTTCGGTAACACAGTTGTTTTTGTACTTCTGGGTCTTTTGTTTCCATGTGACAGAAAGAATAAACTACTAGTTTTGCATGATGCTCTCTAGATCCATTTTGCCACAGATGATAGGTGACATAATTTTATTCTTTTTATGGCTAAATAGTATTCAGCTGTATATATAAACCACATTTCTTTTCCCAGAATAGGACGATCTATTGATGAGAGGTATTTAAATCACTGTTAATTGTATTTGGACATGCCTGTCCCTTTATGTTAAGTAATAGTTTACCTTGCTGAGGATAGAGAGGATAGGAATGCCTTACTTTGTTCTTAGGCTTCTCGTTTTGAGATTCACTAGTTTGCAGTGGGATCCCGGGTGTCACTTTCTTCCTTAGGTCCAGGTAAACCAAGCCAAAAATGACTACATGCAGGCTGAGTTCCATCCTGCTACTAACAAACCTTCTGTAAAGGAAACTGAAGGCAAATCCATTCACAGTAGTTATAAAATAAATAAAATATCTTGAATAAATTCAACTGAGGCTCTGGTGACAGACCTCTACCAAGTAAGTTATAAAACACTGGTGAAAGTCATTGGAGAAGTCCCAAGATGGAAAGACTTCCCATGTTTATGTTTAGAAGAACTAATATTGTTAAGTGTCCACACCAGGTCAAAATATTAGTAAAGTCAGTCCAATCATTTTGAAAATACCAGGAACATTCTGTAGAGAACTAGAAAAATCACAAAATTCATATAGAACTACAAAAAAAAAAAATCTGCAAATAGCCAACAACAGCAAAAAAAAAAACTTGGAAGGATTGCAGGACATTGGGTTACAATAATGAAAACCTGATGGCCCCAGAAATAAAGACACATACTCCACCCAGCTGATTCTACACAGATGTTCCAAAAACATACAGAAGATTGAAATTTGACTCTGTTTCAGCCTCCACCAAAGTCAACTCAGAAATGTATCAAGACCTGAATGTAAGCTATAGAACTACTACAGGCAATGTAAGATGGCAGAACAAGGAATGATTTTCTTGACAGCACCTGTAATGCACAGAAAACAAAAACTGACCGATGGGGGAATCACACCAACTAAAGTGTTTGTGTGGAACAACAAGAGTAGACGGCTTACAGATTTTGGATAAAAATACTTGCCGCTAGGCAGTGGTGGCACAGGCCTTTAATCCCAGCACTCGGGAGGCAGAGGCAGGTGGATCTTTTTGAGTTCGAGGCCAGCCTGGTCTACAGAGCGAGATCCAGGAAAGGCACAAAGCTACACAGAGAAACCCTGTCTCAGAAAACAAAACAAAACAAAACAAAACAAAACAAAAAAAACGAAAAAAAACCTTGCCAACTATTCATCTGTAAAGCGTTAATATCAAGAATATATAAGAGCTGGGTAGTGGTGAAGCACTCCTTTAATCCCAACACTAAGGAGCCAGAGGCAGGTCAATCTCTGAGTTCAAGGCCTGCCTGGAGACAGAGAAACAATGTCTCAAAAACAAAAACAAAAAAAAACTAAAAGCACCGATAAATAAATAATACATAAGAAAATTTTAAAAATGTTGAAAGTCATCAAAACCACAAGATGCCATCATACTTGTCTCAAAAACCAAACAAAAGCTGTGTGTCAAGAATATGGGGAAAGGCTGGGTGGCGGTGGCACATGCCTTTAATCCCAGCACTCGGGAAGCAGAGCCAGGCAGATCTCTGAGTTCGAGGCCCTCCTGGTCTACAGAGCAAGATCCAGGACAGACACCAAAACTACACGGAGCCCTGTCTCAAAAAAAAAAAAAAGAATTTGGGAAAAGGAACCCTTTATATACTGATGGAGGAAAGTAAATTAGGATAGTCATTATGGAGAGGAGTTGAGGTTACTCCAAAGATTCAAATCCAAACTACTATTCGATCCAGCAGTGTATACACTTCTGGGTGTATAGCTAAAGTGTGCTAAAGAAATCTATGCACTCCTACATTCACCGCAGGGCCATTCAGCCAAAGCAAACTAAAGGAGATTGAAATGTGACTACCCTGATTTGATTGGTACACATTGTATTCATGTTGTGAAATACACTGCTCCCCAGAAATGTGTAAATTGTTACCTGTGCATAATTTAAAAAATGCTTCAGTGGACAGTTCAGGACAAAAATAAGTGAGGGGCATTTGGACATGGAGTGTACAGTGAATGAGTCTGCCCTGAGCAACTGTACTAAAAGCAAATTGTATTTGGAGTTTTTTTAATACCTAAATAAAGATACTTTATTTTAAATGTGATTGTCAGACAACTACAGTTTATCAGAATACCAGGAAGTACTATACACTGTCCAGTGTAGTATTTCTTTAGTCTTCCTTAATTAGGAGTAAATAATATATACACAAGTCATTGTAGTCAGAATACACAGTCTCTTGGCTTTAAGTGAAAATAGGCTTGAAGGGCCATTTGCTCAGAAAAGGAAGTCCTTTATGGTTTCATTCAAAACATGGAATTGGGTGTTAAGCTAGTGAACGGCCGTTTCACGTAAGTATTTTCATAGTAATTATCCTCATATGGTGCTTCCATTTGTGTCTGTGACCCATCTCCATAGTTGCCAACTAGGCTTTTCTGTATTCTTTCAAGCCTGACATCTAAAGAGAAATGACAGATGGTTAGAACAGTACCCTGCCCTGTAGTCCTTTCTTTCACACTTTGAGCACATATCTGTATTGCTGTTCATTCTGTTTTAACCATTGTCCAGCTCTACATAGGTCGCTGTATGGCCCAGCTTCTAGGTGTGACCTAATAACTACCTGTGTAGTTTGGGGCAGTCATCTATGTTCTGTAAGCCCAAGTCTTCATCTGTAAAATTTAAGACTGTGGTAGCACCTGCCTCATGGTGTGTGTATACCCGAAGAAGGCCAGAGGATGTTGTGAGGTGACCTTTCCATCACACTGCCTTATTGTCTTGAGTCAGGATCTCTCACTGAACACAGAACACCTGGAATCCACGTGTGTCCACTCCCTAATGCTGAGGTTACAGGTACCCACAGGCTGTGTCTGGCCTTTCTTGTGCTAGGGTCTTTAAGCTTGCATAGCAAGTGGTCTTACCCACTAAGCCATTCCCCAGGCCCTTCCTGGTTTTGTGAGTTAAATGAGATGGTCCATAGTGTTTGGAAATAAGTGCTTTGTAATTAACTATAGTCATTTCTATATTCCCAAATGAATTACCTTTTCCCTCTATGGATCTGCTCTGAAAACCCACCCTACCCGACCTCTGTGCACACACATGCACACCCTGTCTCTGTTTTGTGTTTTTGAGACAGGGTCTTTCTATATGTAACCCCGGCTGTCCTGGGAACTTACTATGTTGATCAGGCAGGCCTTGAACTCAGAGATATGCCTGCCTCCCTCAAGTACCTGGCTTTCCCTAGCTTCTTGGAGGGTAACACACAGTCTCCCAATGCTACCATCTTTCTTCAATATTTAAGATAATTTTCACTTACCCTTATCGTATCATAGCTGGAAGGAACATATCTTTTTACCATAACCTTTCAAAACTTAGTCATTTATATTGTTTCCTTTTTTTGCATCTGCCATGTATGTTCTTTTATCTACCAGTAAACCACTTATGTGTGTACTTCTTAGGATTTCTGTAGCAAAGCTTTAACCTCCTTGCCCTTTACTATAAAGAGAGTTACCAAAATTGTTCTATAGAAGGCCATTGTAATCGTTAATCTTGGCTGTCAACTTGACTCAATCTGGAATCAGCCAAAAGGCTAGCAACCTCATGAGGAATTTGCTTGATCAGGTTAATTGAAGTAGGAAGGCCCCCCCTCAATACGGTGGCACCTTTCGGTGGCAACCCAAATCAAAGAAGATGGAAAGCAAGGGCTTGCTCTGCCTGCTTGCCTCCACTTTAATAGCAAGTTCATCTATGCTGTCACTGCGTTCTTTCAGACCAGCAGCTTCCCAGGGACCTTCCCAGCTTTCAGTGCTGATGATGCACCCAGTGCCCATGGAGTGAGAAACCACAGGAATCTCAGGCTGTTCTGAGGTAGCTGTTGTTGAACTATTCAGATCACACCATATAAGTCATCTTAATAGATCAGCATTGACTCCATTAATCCCCAATGCAAAAACTACTTGTTTGAGGAACAGGCACATGGGGTCTGAAAAATGAAGAGTATGAGTGAAAAGTGGAACATGTTCATGTAGGTACAGCCAGAGGCCATGGCCAACTGAGTTTATATGTGGAAAACTGTATTTGAGGCATCAGACTCTATGACAGTGTTTCAGCTGTGAATTCTTAACCTGCTGCAGTTCAAATCCTAACACAGACTGACCTTCAGCTAGTCATAGCATCTCTCCTTCCTCAGAAATGCAGATAATGGAACTTGTTTCATATATTTGTTTCAAAAATCAAGTTAAGCCGGGCGGTGGTGGCGCACGCCTTTAATCCCAGCACTTGGGAGGCAGAGGCAGGCAGATCTCTGTGAGTTCGAGGCCAGCCTGGTCTCCAAAGCGAGTTCCAGGAAAGGCGCAAAGCTACACAGAGAAACCCTGTCTCGAAAAAACCAAAAAAAAAAAAAAAAAAAAATCAAGTTAAGTTCATTCTTCATTGTAATTACTAAGAGTTCACATTATCTGTTGTGTATAGAATGGACGTGGGGATTATCAGCACAGAAACCACTGAAGAAGTTATGAAAGGCAATCACGTATTGGATTTGAGGGGTAGCGGTGAGGTGGTAGTAAGTGAACAACTAATAAAAATGATAGCTCATATTGATGGGGTAATATGTGTTGGGCAGCAGCCTAGGCTCTGTTTAGTGTCAAGCACTATTCTAAGCTTGCTGTTGTGTGTGTCACAACAACAGCAGCACAAGAACTCAAACCCAGGCTCCACAGTCTAACCTCTCTGCCTGACTGCTTCTCATAGAAGGTAGCAAAGTTACACTCTGATCACAGGTAACCACAGGCTTTGGCTATTGTGCTGGCTGGTTTCTGTCTACTTGACACAAACATAGACATGGGCAGAAAGACTCCTGATTGAGAAATGCCTCTGTAAGACTGGCCTGTAAGCAAGCCTGAGCTATTGCTTTGACCAGTGATGGGTGATGCCTCGAGGGCCCACCTCTGTGGGCATTGCCACTCCTGGGCAGGTGGTCCTGGGTGGTATAAGAAAGCAGGCTGAGCAAGCCATGGAGAGCAAGCCAGTTAGCTGCACCCATCCATGGTCTCTGCATCAGTTCTTGCCCTGACTTCTTGGATGATTGTAATGTGGGAGTTTAAGTGAAATAGACCTTTTCCTCCCCAAATTGTTTTTGGTCCTGGTGTTTTATCATAGCATAGAAACCCTAAGACAGCTATGTTAGAGTCATTGGTATTTCTGTGGCATAATGATAGTTTTTCAGTGTGCAATTACTAGAAGGGCAGTAGTGGCATAGACCTTAAAAACATTACCAACATTTAGAGGCATTCATTTTGCCAAATTAAGTTTGCTCACTGGAGATCATTACTGAAACCATGAGCTATGCAACTTTTTTTTTATCCAGCCTTAAATAAAATAGAAAACCTATTTTCCGCCGGGCAGTGGTGGCGCACGCCTTTAATCCCAGCACTCGGGAGGCAGAGCCAGGCGGATCTCTGTAAGTTTGAGGCCAGCCTGGACTACCAAGTGAGTTCCAGGAAAGGCACAAAGCTACACAGAGAAACCCTGTCTCGAAAAACCAAAAAAAAAAAAAAAAAAAAAGAAAACCTATTTTCCAGTGACAGTCCTACATATAAAGATAGACATGACCTAACAGAGTCATTTATATCCACGTGCGCACACACATTCTTCAGAATAATGAAAGGGTAGACATATGTACAGATGTGAAGAATATTGTTTACACCTATACAGATTTTTATGTAAGTATTGCTAAAAGCCACCAACCTTGGACTGGAGAGATGGCTCAGTGGTTGAGAGTATTGGCTGTTCTTCCAGAGGACCCATGTTCAGTTCCCAGCACCCATATGTTGGCACACAACTGTCTATAACTCCAGTTCCAGGGGATCTGATGTCCTCTGCCTGCCTCCACAGGCACCAGGCATGTGGTACATTTACATGGGGGCAAAAAACTCACACACAAAAAAATAATCACCTACCTTTTAAATTAGCTGAAGAGTTACTTGTAGCAGTTTCTTTCCATTTAGCAATATACCTGCAATATTTTATATGGGCATTAAATTGACTTATTACTAAATAATAAGTTAGTTAATTAACACATGTTTAATGGTGACGTCTTCACTAGTCTCAGTGTTTGAGTTCCATGACTTTACCATCTCCTAGTATTCACACATGCTTATAAGACAATTTGCAGGATAAGGAGTTACAAGAGGTTGAAATGGAACCTGCCGGCCATGGTGGCGCACACCTTTAATTCCAGCACTCTGGAGACAGACAGATCAGATCTCTGAGTTCCAGGAAAGCCAGGATGATATGGTAAGACCTTGTCTCAAAATAAAGTAATAAGACCTTTTAAAAATTCATCTGTAATTATCCAGATTTTTGAAGGTCTTCCTTACTTACCAATTTTCCTGTAGGGAGAAGTGACAGATTCAAAATTTTTCTCACAGAATGTGTCATTAAACCAGTTATAAATAAAGATAATAATAATGGAGACTGGATGCCATAAAAGCCAAGGGAAGTAGCTGCTTATCCCTGCCTAGGATCAAGCTGCTGCAAAGCCTCATTCTGCATCAGATAATTGTGCCTGTGGTCAGAAGCACAACTAGTATATTCCCATTAATCACTCACCTCACCCTAAGTTCTTGTCAGGGTTCAGAGAAAACACTTGGCTTTTTATAGACTTGACTGGATGAACAGAAGTACGTAATTTGGAAATGTTTAAGGAAAAAAAAAAACGTGGTTCTTCAGTTACTCTCAGCATTTCAAATCAAGGCCAACTCATCCCACTCCACACAGAATCTCACGCCAGCATCTCCTCAGATGTGATGACAAAGGTCTCTCTGAATAGTGGGGAGTTTCCCTTTGTCACCTTCTACTTCCTCTGGTCCCTTTCTCATGTTCTGTCAGTGACTGACACCTCGATTCTCTGTCCCCTTTTCTCCCCCTCTTTCTAATATCTTCCATTTCTTTACCCTCCTTAGAATTCTTCTCTTTGCCCATGCACTATCCACGTTCCTTGTAGCTGAGTACACATTTAACAGCTTGGCTGAGGTGTAATTCATTGGCCATCTAATCCACTCGTGTAAAGTGTATGGTTCAGAGATGGTTAGTATATTCAGAGTTGTGCATTCTTCACACAGGCAATTTTCAAACATTATCACCACACTCAGAAAACACTCAACATCCGTAGCTATGACCTTCCTGTAATCCCAATTCCACAGCCTCGGGTAACCACTACTAATACGTGTTGTCCCTAAATTTCTTTATTCTGCATATATCACATTTATAATTATGCTGCTTTCACTTGACAATTTCATTGACATCATGACACATACCAGAATTTCACTGTTCTACTGTGGAGTAATACTACGTTGTGTGGACGTACTAAGCTTGACTTGCCTAACCATCAACTGATGGACATTGGGATGGCTTCTAATTTTTTTCCTCATTATAAAATGTTCCTGTGAACATTGGGGCTAGGTTTTATGTGGACGTATATTTTCATTTTTCTTTGTACACACTTTGGAGTGGAATGGCTGGATTATAGATCAACACTTGAGAAGTTACCAGTCATTTCCCAAAGTGGCGGAACCACTGCACCTGCTTGCCATGTAGAGAGTCTCCACTCTCGGTACTGCCAACACTGTTACTAGTCATGCTGGTCATTTGAAGTCCCCCGCCCCCACCCCCACCCCCCGGCAATGTACCTTCAACTGGCATTTACCTTATGACTGTATTGAACAGTCTAAATTCCCACCATGCAAAATTCTAAAAATACTTTTCAATGGCCATTTGTGTTACTGATACAGTTTTTTAATATCTAGAAAGAGTAGGTCATATAGATTGAAACTATTTCTTTACATAATCTTTGCATAATTAATCTTATGGTCTTAGACTTGTTTCTGAATCCCAAAGTGAAACAGAGTAGAGTCAGTTAGACACAGCTGTTGTAATGCATTCTTCCGCCTTACTATAATTTTCTCAAGCCCAGTTTTTCCCTTTTCTGTTTAGACAAATAAAACTGTTTTTAAAGGTTTTGTTCAGAACCCCAAGGTTCAACCTGGGAACGGGAAATTTTACAAAGAAAAAATACAGGACTTTGTCCCCCTATGATGGCTCTGTACTCACTCATCAAAGTTGAGTGTGTTCGTCCAGTTCAGCACTTCATCCACTTCCCATTCCATCACAGAATCGACCCCTCCATCTTCAATGCTCCTGATCAGTCCTTTTGTTGCTTTGTGAATTAGGCCTAGAGTTTCATGATCTGTTGCCTTGGCCTCCAGGCTCCCCAGGTAGTACCTAAATAAAGGAAAAGGAGAGACACACATCCTTTGCAATAAGTGATCGGAAGTAAACACAACTGACGGGTGATGGTGTTTCTATATTAAAATTGTAAATTAAATCAAGCTTTTGTTCTGTACACTTCTGAACTAAGACCCGTGTGATAGACTCTTCCTGCAGCAATTTAATCACTAACCAGTGAGACTTCACTTATTCACCTGCCCTAAGTTTCACGATAGAAAAATCTGAATCACATTCTGAGTAGAAGACTCTTAGAGACTAAGCCAGCTTCTTGTTTTATAGATGAAGAACTAAGTCCAGGAGGAATTGGGTAACTTCTACGACGTCACGAGGCTAATGGCAGTTAGAAAGGGAAAGGAGGTCTCTACATCTTTGTGCCAGATACATTGCATACTTTTCTTACTTTTCTTTTAAAAGACAGCTATTTGTGGTGGTGGTTTCTGCTCTCTTATGTAAAGAATTGAGACTTGGGGAAGTCAAGGAATTGTTCAAGATCATGAAAGTGGTAAGAATGGGGACTGCCAGCGTTTGACTCTGAGCACACCCTCCTTCTGTCTGATGCAATTTTAAGGTCAGTGTTCCCACGAAACACAAATAGGGAGATATTAGTAGCCCTTGCCAAGAACATGGAACACAGAAATCCATTGAGAAGACAGATGTATCATCAGCAGACTTTGTCATCATTACTAGGTCTGAGCTACAAGAAATGCCTAGAGAAGACCTGCCCCTGTGGAGAAGGGACATAAATGATGCTTTGCCCCTGGAGTGCCTGAGGAGAGAGTAATCCCACTATGCTCCTCATTTGGGTGGCTCCATACTGCCACCCAACATGGTGGGTATCCAGGGTATCCAGAAGCCACCACTGTAGCAGGGGAAGTAGTTTGTTTCCATGGACAAGTGGAAACCAAGCCAGTGTCCTCTGCCAGGCCAACATTCAAAGAGACATGTTCAGGAGATGACTTTTTACTCCCAAAGCCAGTTTATAAAGTTAGCCCAACTGATCCACCAGGTGTGGACACAGAAGTATGGAGAAAACAAAGTTAACATGAAGCTTCCAACGTGAACTCCAGCCACAGATTTCAAAAGAAAAGCATACTAATTAAATGCCTATTAAATGTTCTAACAAACTTAAGGAAACTCCCTCCGTGAGATACAGGAGAATTACAGAAAATTCAACAAAACTGGGGAAATTTATGAATGAAACTTTTAGCAGATACAGATGATGAAATAATATTTACAAGTAAGGAATTCACTAATTCAAATTTATTATGAAGTTGATAGCTTCACCATTACATTAAGTCAGGAGAAAAATATGAACAGAAAAATAGATCTTTTGTAATATCTTAGATGGAAAAAAAGAGTGAAGGAGAACTCTCAGATACAGTGGCACTGTTGAAAAATTCTGAGTCAGTACAAGATGACAAGAAGTGGGAAGACAGAACCTTGCCAATGAAATGTCTCTGACCTGGGGAAAGATGTGGATGTGCAGGCACAGAGGCCCAAGGGCCCTGAAAGAATGGGACACACATAAAGCCCTGTGTGATAGCTCATGCCTGTGATCCAAGCACTTGAGGATTCCATGAGTTAAACAATTTGAACAAAGTTCATTAAGACGAATAAAGACTTTCTGAGACAAGAACTGAGGGAACTCGTCACCTCGTCACTAGACCTGTCCTACAGTAAATGCTCAAAGAAGGCCTGTACCGTAAGTGAAAGGGCAGTGTCTTTTCTAAGTGCATTTCCTTGTGCAATGTCCTAGTCACCTTTAATTGTCCAGATCGCATTGGCCTATTGATATGTCTGTGGGGGATTGTCTTGATTGTTGTTGATGTTGGAAGACCCAGCTCGCCTGGTCAGCTCCAGTCTGGGTAGATGGTGCTGGGCTGCATAAGAAAACTAGCTAAGGATGAGCCAGCAAGCAGCACTATTCCACATTTTCTGTTTCAAGTGGTACATGACCTCCTGTCCTGGCTTCCCTCAGTGATGGACTGTAACCTGCGAGCTGAAATAAGCCCTTCCTTCCCCTAAGTTGCTGTGGCCAGATCATTTTCTCACAGCAGCAGAGAATAAACCATGCCCTTAGCTTTTAAAAAACCAACTAACAGTGTGTGTGTGGGGGGGTCTATTTCTCAGTCCTATGGTCTGTCCCAGTCATCTCTGTGCTGGTTACAATGTCTTGATTGCAATTGCCTTGTAAGCCTTAAAAATTAAGTAGGGCAAATTCTCCAACTTTTCTCAAAAATACCTTCTATTTCTTTAATAAGACCAAGTCATCTACTTACATTTGCCTCATCCATTCTATCTTTTTAATTTTTCTTTTCTTTTCCATGTCTTGCTTTCTCTTCAGTTTAGAGAAATGAAATTCGCTTTCCTTTGTGCTTTCCAACACTTCACTTTCAAGTGGTATCCAAAACTATGGTGGGGTGGAGATTACAGAATTAAATACTGATTGTGGAGAACTCTCTATAGACAAGAACTTTGTGTTGGTGGGAATGTGCAAGAGAAGAGCAGAACAGAAGACAGGCCTTTTCAAGGGAGTTCTAATTAAGTGATGGGCAACAGATAGTTTCAGAAGTACCTGTTCTAGCAACATTGACCAACTACTTGTGTGTTGAGGCGTTCCTTCAGCACCCAGTGAAATGAATGACTAGTAAACCTAAGCATGTCTGTCTCACCTGAACATACCTCGCCCCTCCTGGCACTACTGGCTTTTCATGACTAACCCTCCAGGATTATGTCCACTCAGAAAGGAGAAGTGCCTCTACTCTCTCCCAAACTGTGGCTTCTTTGAATGGCATGTCCTCCTAGCTGGTGGCTTGTGTTCCCGATTCCAATTTATCCTCTCTTCCCACAATACAATCACTAGGTAATGGTTGCTGTATCTCCCAACAGTTCGTCCTGTTTAACCACTTACTGTACTGCACTAAAGCATCCTGCCTACTTGGCTTATCTCTAGGTACAAGCATCCTCTGAGAGAGAAGGAGCTGTGTCTTCTGACCACTGCATTCTTAATGGCTAGAACTATGCCTAGCACATGATAGGCATATAATAAAGTACTGAATGTGTGGATTCACATCTTGGTCATTTTAAACATCTCAAACATTTAGACATTTGGTCATCCTATAATCTGTGTTTTGAGAATATCGTTAGCAGAGAGAAAATAAAAATGGCCTAGTTTCAAACCTGATTATTAAAAATAAACATAAGAGAAGCCTGCCCCACTGACTCATGATGAGCATCTATGTGGTGGGTAGAGAGGAGAGAGAGAGAAGTGGAGCAGTTTGTGTGCTGTGGAAAGAGGCAGAACTGGAGACATGACGGCAGCGAGAACCAGGCTGATGTGAGTGGCCTGAGCTGCCACCTGGGTCCATAGGATGTCCACCCTATGCTGCCACCCCTGGCCATATGTGCACCCATGGTCCTGATGTGGACAGTATCTGTGTTGATGTCCCTGGGGACTGGCAAAGGCCATGCAGATGTCTGTGGTTGGGGATGCCACCTTAAACCATGTTGATGTCCAGGGGCCATGCTGAGTTGGCTCCACCCCTAGCCAAGCACAAGGTGCAGGAGAGCTGGCTCTGTGAAGGCCTGGGCTGACCAACTCTGCTACCACCCGGGAACAGATCCAAGACTTTGAGTTGGTCCACACCAGCATCTACCCCCATCTATGAGATACTGGAACATGTGAAGGAGCTGGTCCTGTGGAACCATAGCCGCAGGATCTCTATGACTGGGGCAACAGCAGGATATCCAAGAGGAGTCTCGGTGAGGGTCCAGTATTGATGGTATAGCAGAAGCCAGAGGTCTTAAACCTGACCAATGACTCACTGCAGTGAACATTAGCAAGTGAAGCTGTTTATTCAAAAGGGTAGACTGCATGACACACTGCAGCTCCCCGGGCCACTACAACAGATGAATATGCGATGGAGAGGCAGAAAGGATAGAGGAGCGGAGTGGTACCTGCAGGGCAGAACTGGAGATGAGACAGTCGTGATGGGTATGAGAGAAGGCTGATGTTGAGAGAGAAGCAGGTCGTTGCCCAGAGGGGTCAGCAAGATGTTGTTTTTGTTTGTTTTTTAATTTTAATTTTTGTTTGAGGGGGGAGGTTACAGGGGTGGAGGGCAGATATGGAAGGACTGGGAAATGAGTGGGATTGGGGTGCATGGTATGAAATTCCCAGAGAACCAATAAAAAAGATTATTATGTTGAAAAAATAAACTAAGGCGTCAATGAGATGGCTCACTGTGTGAAAACACCACTCAAACCTGACAACCCGGGTGTGAAGGAGAGTGCCAACCCCACAAGTTGTCTCCATGCACACTGGAGTACACAATCACCCATGCTTGCACACATATCGTTTATACACACACACAATAATTAATTCAAATAATTCTAAGGATAACAATTTATCTTATTTAACAATGCCAGAATAGCTAAGTTAAGCAATTTTTTCAACTAAATTATGATTATTAAAATTCAAGATTAATTTTTAAAAACAAGATTAACTTCTAAATATATAAAATAAAAACCAGCACGATTCCCATTTGCTTACCCTTCGGGAAACAGGCCTCCAGCCATTGTTCTCTACACGGCGGTACCAGCCACTGTGGTCCTCACCCAGAGGTGGATCATCCTTATTATGAGATGTGCATTTTGCTTGAAGCTTTGTGTAATCTCTAGGGCTATTAGCACACAGATCTTCAACATGTCTGTGAGTAAAAATTTTATAGTATATCTGAGGTGGAAATTTAACCTGTAGATGGGAAAGTTCAAAGCATCGTTGTAATTCAATAACAGCAATGGGCTACATTTTAAAAATTCTTTAAAACTTCATGTAAGTGTGCTTTAAAACTACCAAACAAGGACTCCAGCCAGGGAAGCAGGTAGGCTAACTGTAGATCTTCACTTCTCCCTCTGCTCTTCCAAATCCAATCCCCCAGGTCACTCCTAGCTTTGCCCCAGACCACCTGCTGAGGCCTCCCTTCCATCTGCCCCATCTCCAGTGGACCACACATATCTACCCCTCCTAGCCTCCCTCCCCAAACTCATTACTTTATCCCAGGCCCTAACTCCAGTAGGCACTCCCTGGGGAAACACAGGCAACTGCAGATCTTCACTTCTCCCTCCGTTCCTCCAAGTCCATTCCCCAGTCTCATTCCTAGCTCTATAGAAGACCTTCTGCTGTGGCCTCTCCTCACTCCCTGCCCCCATTCCCAGGAGACTAAGCAGATCCTGTGGAACACCCCGCTTTCTTCCCTTCTGTGGACCCCCTCAAAACCTCCCTCCTAGCCCATCCCCATTCTCACATGTTAGCTCACAATACCTAGAAATACATTTTATCTGGAACTCTCAGTGGCCACATCTATCAGGATCCCAGAAAAATTCCTATCAGGCAATACACAGCCACTGCAATCTCCTAAGAACCAGAGAGGGCAACAGAAATCAAGAAACAAAACACGCATCCAACAAAGACAAGATCAGATACCAGCAAATAGAATTACAATCTTCCCAAACCCAGATGCCCAGATGCCAGTATAAAAACAAGGAAACAGCCAGAACAATATGTCTCCACTAAGCCCAGCAGCCCTCCCACAGAAGGCCCTGAGAAATACAACATAGCTGAAACACAAGAAAAGGACCTTAAAATAGCCATTATGAATATGATAGAGGTCCTTACAGAAGAAATGAATAAATCTCCTCACCTATGAAAACACAAACAATGGAAGAAAATGAATAAAGCAGTTCAAGGCCTGAAAGTGGAAATAGAATCAAGAAAACCCAAATTGAGGGAAATCTGGAAATGAAAAATGTAGTAACTCAAACAGAAACCCCAGAGGCAAGCCCCACCAACAGAATGTAAGAGATGGAAGAGAGAATCTCAGGCATTTGAAGACATGATAGAAGAAATGGATAAGTCAATCAAAGAAAATGTTGAATCTAAAAAAATCATGGCACAAAACACCCAGGAAATCTGGAACACTATGGAAAGACCAAATCTCAGGATAATAGGAATAGAGGAAGGAAAAGACACAGGTCAAAGGCACAGAAAATATTTTCAACAAAATCATAGAAGAAAATTTCTGTAACCTAAAGAAGGAGATGCCTATCAAGGTATAAGAAGCATACAGAGCCGGGCGGTGGTGGCGCACGCCTTTAATCCCAGCACTCGGGAGGCAGAGCCAAGCGGATCTCTGTGAGTTCGAGGCCAGCCTGGACTACCAAGTGAGTTCCAGGAAAGGCGCAAAGCTACACAGAGAAACCCTGTCTCGAAAAACCAAAAAAAAAAAAAAAAGAAGCATACAGAACATCAAATAGAATGGACCAGAAAAGGAAGTCATCCCCCCACCCCCCATCACATAATGATCAAAACACTAAACAGACAGAGCAAAGAGTATCAAAAGCTGAAAAGGAAAAAGGTCAAGTAACATACAAAGCTAGACCTATTTAGAATAACTTCTGACTTCTCAATAGAGACTAAAAACCAGAATGGCCTGGACAGATGTTTTATAGACTCAAAGAGACCACAGATGCCAGCCAGCCCAGACAAAATTTCCATTGCAATAGATGGAAAAAATAAGATATTCCATGATAAAACCCAAATTTAAGTAATATCTATCTATAAATCTAGCCCTACAGAAGGTGCTGGGAGGAAAACTCCAACCTAAAAGGGTTAACCACACCAAGAGAACACAGGGAATACCCCGGACCAGTGAATCAAACCAGGGAACACACACACACACACACACACACACACACACACACACACACACACCCCATACACACATACACCACCACAACAAAATAACAGGAATCGACAAACACTACTCACTGATGTCTCTCAACATCAATGACTTTCATTTCTAAATAAAGACATAGACTAACAATGGATGCAAAAACAGATTCATTCTGCTGTATCCAAGAAATGCACCTTGACATCAAAAATAGACATCACCCAGGCTAAAGGGATGGAAAAAGAAGATTTTCCATTCAAATGGACCTAAGAAGCAAGCTGGTGTAGCCATTTTAATATCTGACAAAATAGACTTCAAACCAAAACTAATTAGAGATAGGAAAAGACACTACATAGCCATCTAAGGAAAAATCCACCATGAGGACAGTGCAGTTCTTAACATCTATGCACCATACACAAGGTCACCCAAGTTCATGAAAGAAACACCACTACAGCTTAAGTTGCATATTGAACCCCACACACCAGTAGTGGGAGACTTCAATACCCCACTCTCGCTAATAGGTCATCCAGACAAACACTGAACAAAAATGTTGGAGCTAACTGGTACTATAAACCAAATGGGCCTAACAGATATTTACAGATCATTTCACCCAAACACAGAAGAATATACCTTCTCAGCACCTCATGGACTTTTCTTCAAAATTGATTACCTAATCAGATACAAAGCAAGTCTCAACAGATATTTAAAAAAATGATATAACTGCCTGCATCCTAACCGACCACCACAGATTAAAGCTGGGTGTCAACAACAACAGAAAGCTTGCAAACTCACAGAAACCAAACAACTCACGATTGAATGAAAAAAAGGTCAAGGCAAAAAATTAAGAAATAGCCAGGTGGTGGTGGTGCACGCCTGTAATCCCAGCACTCGGGAGGCAGAGGCAGGTGGATCTCTGTGAGTTTGAGACCAGCTTGGTCTACAGAGCTAGTCCAGGACAGGCTCCAAAGCTACAGAGAAACCCTGTTTCGAAAAACCAAAAAAATAAAAAAATAAAAATAAAAAAATTAAGAAGTAAAGCCCGTTTAGAATTGAATGAAAATGAACACACAATATACCCAAACTTATGGGATACAATAAAACAGTTCTAAGAAGCAAGTTCATAGCATTAAGCATTAAGTGACTCCATTAAAAAACAAAACAAAACAAAACAAATTTGGAGAGCTCTCACACTAGTAACTTAACAACACACCTGAAAACTCTAGAACAAAAGGAAGGAAACCACACCCAAGAGGAGAAGACAGTAAGAAATAATGAAACTCAGGGCCAAAATCAATAAAATAGAAAAAGAATACAAAGAATCAATGAAACAAAGAGTCAGTTCTTTGTGGAAGTCTTTATGATCGACAGACCCTTATTCAAATTAACTGAGAGGTGGAGAGAGAATATCCAAATTAACAAAATTAGAAATGAAAAAGAAGGCCGGGCGGTGGTGGCGCACACCTTTAATCCCAGTACTCGGGAGGCAGAGCCAGGCGGATCTCTGTGAGTTCGAGGCCAGCCTGGACTACCAAGTGAGTTCCAGGAAAGGCGCAAAGCTACACAGAGAAACCCTGTCTCGAAAAACCAAAAAAAAAAAAAAAAAAAGAAGATATAACAGACATCGAGGAGATCTAGATGATCATAAAGACATACTTTAAAAAACTGTACTCCACTAAATTGGAAAATCAAAAAGAAATGGATAATTTTCTTGGTACATACCACTTACTAAAGTTAAATCAAGATCAGATAAGTGATTTAAACAGACCTATAACCCCTAGTGAAATAGAAGCAATAATTAAGTCTCTCAACCAAAAAAAGATCAAGGCCAGATGGTTTTAGTGCAGAATTCTATCAGACTTTCAAAGAACAGTTAATACCAATCCTCCTCAAATTATTCCACAAAATAGAAACAGAAGAAACATTGTCCAATTTGTTTTACAAGGCCACAGTTACCATAATAGTCAAACTACATAAAGACCTAACAAAGAAAGAAAATCACAGACCAATTTTCCTTATGAACATAGATGCAAAAATTCTCAATAAAATACTTGCAAAGCAAAGCCAAGAACACATCAAAAACGTTATCATGATCAAGAAAGCTTCATCCCAGAGATGCAGGGATGCTTCAACGTATGTAAAGTGGTAAATGTAATTTGTAAATTGATAAATGTAATTCATCATATAAATAAACTTAAAGACCAAAACCACATAATCATCTCTTTAGATGCAGAAAAGGCCTTTGACAAAATCCAACATCCTTTCATGATAAAAGTCCCAGAGAGAATAGAATACAATGGACATACCTAAACATAATAAAGGCAATTTACAGCAAGCCTATAGCCAACATCAAACTAAATGGAGAGAAACTTGAAGCAATTCCACTAGAATCAGGAACAAGACAAGGTTGTCCACTCTCTCCATATCTATTCAGTATAGTGCTTCAAGTCTTGGCTAGAGCAATAAGACAACTAAAGGAGATCAAGGGGATACAAATCGGAAAGGAAGAAGTATCTTTATTGCAGATGATATGATAGTGTACATAATTGACCCTAACAATTCCACTGGGAAACTCCTACAGCTGATAAAACACACTTAGCAAAGTAGCTAGGTACAACATTAACAAAAATCAGTAGCCCACCTATATACAATAGCCTACCTATATCCAAAGAAAGAAATCAGGGACACACCTTTCACAGTAGCCTCAAATAATACAAAATATCTTGAGGCAACTATGGTGATATTTTATTTGTACTGAAATGTGATTTTATTTGTATGTTAACAAATAAAGTTTCCTGGGGGTCAGAGCTAATAGCAAGCCATAGCAGAAGCCGGGGTGGTGGTGGGGTGGTGGTGGTGGTGGTGGGGTGGTGGTGGCGGCGGCGGCGGCGGCGGCGGCGGCGGCGGCGGCGGCGGCGGCGGCTCACACCTTTAATCCAGATCACATGACAGGCAGATCTCTGTGTGTTCAAGGATATAGCCAGCATGGAGACACACACCTTTAATCTCAATACCAACCATAGAAGACCTGGAGGTCTGTATAGACAAGCAGTGACGAGGAGGTCATGTGGTTGGGTTTACAACCAATGAGAAGGCAGAACAAAAAGTCAATAAAAAGAGATACACAGGAAGTAGCTCTCTTGCTGAGGGGAAAGACAGCAGCGCAGTGAAGGGTAAGAAAGGATTTTTAGCTCTTAGCTATTGCTCTGACCTCTTGGACTTTTAATTCTGCATTTGGCTCTGTGTTTCTTATTTAAAAAAGACTGTTACATCTACAGGCAACTCTAAGCAACTCATAACAAAGTATGAAAAAAACTTAAAGACACTGAAGAAATTGAAGAAGTTATCAGAAGATGGAAAGATCTCCCATGCTCATGGATCAGTAGGATTAATACAGTAAAAATGGCCATCCTACCAAAAGCAATCTACAGATTCAATGCAATCCCCATCAAAATTCTAACACAGTTCTCCACAGATCTTGAAAGGACAATTTTCAGCTTTATATGGACAAACTGCAAGAGGCATCACTATCCCTGATTTTAATTGTATTACAGAACCATGGTAATTAAAACCGAATGGGCCGGGCGGTGGTGGCGCACGCCTTTAATCCCAGCACTCGGGAGGCAGAGCCAGGCGGATCTCTGTGAGTTCGAGGCCAGCCTGGACTACCAAGTGAGTTCCAGGAAAGGCGCAAAGCTACACAGAGAAACCCTGTCTCGAAAAACCAAAAAAAAACCAAAACAAAACAAAAAAAACCGCATGGTATTGGCACAAAAACAGACAAGATGATCAATGAAATCAAACTGACGACCCAGACATAAATCCAGACACTTATGGACACTTGATTTTTTTTAAACAGAGACAGCATCTTCAACAAATGGCACTGGCCAAACTGGATGTCTGCATGTAGAAGAACGCAAATTGATTCACACTTATCACCCTGCACAAAACTCAACTCAAATGGATCAAAGACCTCAACATAAAACCAGACACACTGATCCTGATTAGAAGAGAAAGTGGGGAATATTCTTAAACTACTTGGCAGGGGCTGGAGAGATGGCTCAGCAGTTAAGAGCACTGACTGCTTTTCCAGAGGACCTGGGTTCAGTTCCCAGCACCTACATGGCAGCTCACAACTGTCTGTAATTCCCAGATCAGACATAGACATACATTCAGGCAAAACACCAATGCACATAAAATAAAAATAAATAAATTATATATATATATATATATATATATATATATATACACACACACACACACACACACACACACACACACACACACACACACACATTGACACAGGAAAATATTTTCTGACCGGAAGACCAATGGCTCAGGCACTAAGATCAACAATTAATAAATATTAATAAATGGGACTTCATGAAACTGAAAAGCCAAGGACACCATCAATAGGACAGACAAAGCAGCAGCCTATAGAACAGTAAAAGATTTTTACCAACTATCTAATATCCAAAATAAATAAAGAACTCAACAGAAGAATGGATAAAGAAAATATGGAACATTTACACCATGGATTATTATCCAGCCATTAAAAAGATAATAAAATCATTAAATTCATGGGTAAATGGATGGAACCAGAAAAAAATTATCCTGAGTGATGTATCCCAGACCCAGAAATATGGTGTATATTCATTTATATGTGGCTATTAGCTGTTAAGTCAACAACGACCAAGCTACAATCTTAGAATCACAGAGGTTAGGTATAGAGTAAGAGACAAGGGGTGACAGGTCATGGAGGAAAAGGAAATAGAATGGATAGATATGGATGGGGGAGGCTGGAACCTGAGGATCAAGTGGGGAGGGAGAGAAAAGGGGAATGAGGGAAGGAATATGGGGAGAAACAGCTAAAACTGAAGGGTAGTATGGAAATTCAATACAGTAGAGGCTTCCTAAAATAGATACATATATGAGTATATGTGACCATCTAAGTGAAATTACCAAATAATGGGGAAGACAGCCATCTAGCCATTTCTTGTCACCAAATGAAGCATCTAGTACCAGAATTGTGTTAAATCTAACTCAGTTGTTGGCCAAAGGGGTCCCATGGAATTCCCAGATAACCCAGGCTGTTGCCAAGACTACAGGTTGCTCCTCACAAACTGACATAAAGTCCCCATTGCTGAAGACACCACCTATACAACTCATTGAACATAAAGAAGTCAAGCTGGTGCCTACACAGAGTCTTCACCCCCAAGTTGAGCATCTATGGTACAGGAAGCTTCTCTGCACACTACCAAAAGAGAAACACCAACACTACTGCAGCCACCAACCCTTTGATCTACAATGCTGTCCCACCTGCAAGATATGCTAGGGCACAAAGCTTGTGGGAGTAACCAACCAATATCTTATTTGACTTAGGGTCCACTCCATGAGATGGAACCCATACCTGACGCTACTTGGGTGACCAAGAACTTGAGACTAGATAGTCCAGGGACCAAGGGTAAAACCAAATACTGCCCCACCCAAAAAAAGTAACAATAAAATGACTTCTAATGGCATTCTGCTGTACTCATAGATCAGTGCCTTCTTCTACCATCCTCAGAGATGCTTCCTCCTGCAGCAGATGTGAACAACTAGAGATCCACAGCTGGACAATGTGCAGAGAATGAGAGACCTTGAAACACTCAGCCCTAAATGAGATGTCTCCATCAAATCCCTCCCCTTATGGCTCAGGGAACTCTGTGGAAGAGGAAGTGGAGTACAAGAGCCAGAGGAAATGGAAGACACCAAGAAATCAGGCCCTCTAAATCAGCATGAGTCAAGCTCATATGAACTCACAGAGCCTGGGGCAGCGTGTTCAGGGCCTGCATGGGTCTGTACCAGGGCTTCTGTGTATACACTATGGCTTCTAGCTTAGGGTTTTTATGGGATTCCTGCATGTGCTAACAAGTGGGGTTCTGACTCTTGTGCCCTTCTCTTGGGCTCTTTTTCTTCTGTTTGTTTTGTCCAGCTCTGGTGTGTTAGTTTGTGTTTTATCATAACATATCATATCATTCATGCCATTATCCCTTAGAAGTCTGTTTGCTTTCTAATGAGATAGAAAGGGAGTGGATCTGGATGAGAAGAGAGGTGAGGAGGAACTGGGAAGCATAGAGGGAGGGGAAACTGTAATCAGGATCTATTATGCAAGAAGAAAATCCATTTTCAATAAAAGGGAAAAACAAATCTACCAAATAAGAACTCGCCGGGCGGTGGTGGCGCACGCCTTTAATCCCAGCACTCGGGAGGCAGAGCCAGGCGGATCTCTGTGAGTTCGAGGCCAGCCTGGGCTACCAAGTGAGTCCCAGGAAAGGCGCAAAGCTACAGAGAAACCCTGTCTCGAAAAACCAAAAAAAAAAAAAAAAAAAAAAGAAAAAAAAAAAAGAACTCATACATACTCACCCCACCCAGTCTGAATCGGACTTGAATGCCAGCAGCACCATCCAGGAGCTCCGCCTGTAAGAAAACAGACATTCCATGAGCATCACCTTGTTACTTCTCACTCTGTCCATTAAAAGCAGTCACTGGTATTTACTACTTACAAAACAGGTCAGGTGAATAGACTTCAAATAATTCGATTTAAATCATAAAATATTTTTAATTTTTAATTATGATTATGTGGGGGGTACAGTGAGTACAGGTACCCATGGAAGCCAGAGACATTGGATCCCACTGAAGCTGGAGTTACAGGCGGTTGTGAGCCGCCTAATGTGGGTGCTGGGAACTGAACTTGGGTCCTCGGGCAGAGCAGTGTGAGCTCTTAACTGCTGAGCTATTTCTCCAGCCCCGAAATCATAAAAATACTTCAAGAGCTAAGGATTTATGGAAAGCTCTTAGGATAATGTGGGAACCCACAGAAATATCCTAGTGAGATCTGAGCTTGTTTTACTCAGCAGGGCTGCATGAGAAGATGATTGGACCACGGGCCTGGGTACCAGGTGTTTGGAAGGGTCTATACTTGGTTGTATCTAGCAGGGGGAAGTCTTTTGCACCTCCCCTTGGCCATTATAAAAAGCCTTTTTTGATTAAAGTTCTGGGCCGTTGGGTATTGACCCAGGTCCTCCCAAAGCTATCCTGTGTTTCTGTTTTTCTTCTTCTTGGCAAGGCCTATCATTCTACCTAATATTTCTTTTTTTTTTTTTTTTTAAGATTTATTTATTTATTTTTTATACAGTGTTCTGCCTACACACCAGAAGAGGGCACCAGATCTCACTATAGAAGGTTGTGAGCCACCATATGGTTGCTGGGAATTGAACTCAGGACCTCTGGAAGAGCAGCCAGTGCTCTTAACCTCTGAGCCATCTCTCCAGCCCCCCTACCTAATATTTCTTATTCCTCTCTCCTTTTCATAGGAACCCTGGAAAAGGTGGGAGCTGGTCCCCCACAGGTTAACTGGAAAATACTGCCAAACTCTCCTTTCTGTGCAAAATAAATACAAATCTTCAGATGAGTGTGGTGGTGCACCCTCATCCCAGCACTTGGGAGGAAGAGGCAGGTGGAGCTCTGGGAGTTCAAGGCCAGCATTGTCTACCTAGTGAGTTCCAGGACAGCCAGGACTATATAGATAGAGAGATCCTGTCTCAAAAAAAAAAATACAAATCCTAAGTGACTTATTATTTGTAAAACAGAAATAATAAGTCCTCAAATATATGACTTACATATAAAATATTATACCTTGTAAATACATTCAGAAAAAAAGTAACTGGTCCTCTCAAACTCAACACTAGTTGGGCCTTTCCTAACTAGTTTTTGTTGAGTCAAAAAAAAAAAAAAAGACTCAAATTATGTGTGTAGTAAATCTTGTAAATGTAGTGCCCTGCACCAAAAAGAAAATGGGTGGTGGGGGGGGACTTGACCCCTTATCTGAAGACAGCTCACATCTATCTCCTTGATTATATTAGGTTAGATGAGAAAATAGGTATTTTGGTTTGAAAATCTATTGATTTTCCAGAATAATTTTCTCCTGGCTAAAACCTTTGTAAATTAAATACAAAGTACACAATTCTGCATAAAATTTTTCATGTTTGGATGGTGACATCATACATACATATACATACATGCATACATACACTTTCACTAGAATTTGGACAAATTTTAAGTGTGTAGCTCTATGAATTTTTACACGTTTGTATATTTCATGGCATCTCTAAGTCATATAAAAAATCATAAACACTTTCAGCATTGTGGTCCTGTGACTTCTCCCAGTTGGCTATCCTTAAAAATCTCTTTTATCTTCATGGATTAATGTTGGCAGCTTTTGAATTCGTACAAAAGGAATTATACACTATATACTAGTTTGGTGCCTGGATTTTTGTTCAGCTTTAATCTTTGATGGATGTATAAGATCCATCCATGGGGTTGGGGATTTAGCTCAGTGGTAGAGTGCTTGCCTAGCAAGTGCAAGGCCCTGGGTTTGGTCCTCAGCTCCGGGGGGGGGGGGGGGGTGCAGGGGGGGAGATAAAAAAAATCCATCCATGTAGATACATGGGTTATTTTGCATTGCTACTAGCATTTTATCATACCAACCTGTCAACTTTTACAGTTCCACATTTGCTCTGTCTGTGCTGTAGCCGCTATAGCTTGAGCTACAGGGCTGCTGTGAACATTACCCTTCATGTCTTCTGGTGGATTCCTGAACTTATTTCTCTTGGTTGTACACTCAGGAATGCACTAGAAGAGGTTCTGGGGCATGTTGGTTCACTTTCTGTTTCTGTAACAAAATACTGGTGACTGGGAAGGTTTTCCTTACAGTCCTGGCGGCTGTGGTGGCAGCCTCTGCAGAGGGTCCTCCTGCTGTGAGGGCATCTTGCCTCTAGAGAGCAAGGATGCGAGCTTGGGGTTCCTCCTCTTATGGAGCACCTGGAGGCAGGAGCTGATGCAGAGGCCATGGAGGGTGCTGCCTACTGGCTTTGCTCAGCCTGTTTAGAACCCGGAACCACCTGCTCAGAAGTGGCACCACTCAAGTAGGCTTGGCCATCCGACATCCATCATCATCACATTCATCATTATCAAGATAATGCCCTGCAGACACACCTCTTCCCAAATGACCCGAGCTTGTGTGGAGTTGACAAAAACAAAACCCAACCAGTCAGCACCTCAAGGCCTGCTTCCAGAAGGAGGAACTAAAGCGTGGTGTTGGGAAGGGGTCGTAAGTGACTGGAGCACAGTGAGCTGGAGCATAGTTTGGTGGTGTTTGCTTTGTGGTAATTCATTTAACTATATACTTTTGCTTTCTGTGATGTTATTATTACAGAAAGCATGTAATAGTTCAATAAGAAGTTTTTAAGGAAACAAACACGAGAACATTGAACTGGTAAGATGCTGTGTGGTAAGAACAGCCTTACCTCTTTAGGATTAAGGAACCTCACTATCTGGCGTGGCTCCCCTTGTCTTCTTAAATCAATCAGACTTTTAAAGTGTTGGAATACAGCCACATTCTAAAGGTTGAAACACAGAATTTTATGGTTAAAACTAGGTTCTCTACTTTTTTAAGGGTTTGAAAAGTTTTTTATATTTATTTATTTGGGCCAGGGGGTGCTAGAGTACACCTTTGGAGATCAGAGGACAACTTCTGGGAATTGGGTCCTCCTTTCCACCATGGGCATCCCAGGGACAGCGCTCACATCAAAGGCCTGCTGGCACTTGCCTTTACCCACCGAGCTCTCTCACTGGCCCGGAGTTCTCTGTTTCTCATTAGCTGTCTGTATACGTGCACAGAGACATAAAGCTGAGGGGGCCTGCAGGAGCAGGGAAGCGAGCCTTCAAACAGAAAGCCTTTGAGGGAAAGTTCACGTGGCTCTCCCTCCCTCCTTTTATGAGGCTGGTGCTATCCTGACATCAAACCTCGAGGACACTATAAAAGAGGGGGTGGGAGAACACAAGGATGGAGGGGTGTTAGATATAGACCAGCACCCACTTCTTACTGCGAAAAGAACCAAGTTCACAGACATAGCAGCTTTACAAGGTGAGTGACTTCAGGAGACAGAGTGACAAAGCTGGAGGGAGGGAGGGAGGGAGGGAGGGAGGGAGGGAGGGAGGGAAGGGAGAGAGGGAGGGAGGGAAGGAAGGAAGGAGGGAGGGAGGGAAGGAAGGAGGAGGGGCAGAGGGAGAGAGGGAGGGAGGGGGAAGGGGCAGAGGGAGAGAGGGAGGGAGGGAGGGAAGGAGGGAGGGAGGGAAGGAAGGAGGAGGAGCAGAGGGAGAGAGGGAGGGAGGGATGGGGGAGTAGGAGGGGGAGGGAGGGAGCTGGAGAGGGAATGAGAGGGAGGGAAGTGGAGAGACAGAGGCGGGGGAGGGACAGAGGGAGGGATATAGGGAGGGAGGAAGTGGGATGTAGGGAGGGAGGGAAGGATTAAGATGTTTGCAATGGCTGCATAGAAAGAAAAATATTTCTGCAGTTCCTGCAATTCCCACCCCAGCTCTACATCTCTAGAAGACAACCCTGCCACCACACACACACACACACACACACACACACACACACACACACACACACACACACACACTGCCAGAGAGTGTGAACCGGAGAGTCCCTGTAGACTCCTGTCAGCTTGGCCGCAGTCTTTGCTAGTGAAAAGCTTCCTAGCTCTCCCAGGTTGGCGGTTCAGTCAGGTAAGTAACCATAACTCTGTATAGCGGCTATACTCTGGACAAGGACTTCAGTGTCTCCTAGGTGAACACACAGGCTGCTATAAGCTAGAGGCATCTCAAGACACGTGCTGTTGTGTAAATTTGGAGTGTTCTCAGAGTCAGAGATCCCTGCACACCCCTCCCCTCCAGGGTTCCATAGACACCCACCACTTTGGCTTGTTGCAAACCCAACCTGCCCTTGCAGAGGCACGGTGCCTTGTGCTGTTGGATGCTCTGCATTGGAAAGGATGGACTTTTGACACGAACAGACACAGGAGCACACACCTTAAGAACCAGGAGTTCTCTGCACTTGCATCCTGAGACTGTGGCAGCTGCTTGTGGCCTTGCACTAGTGTCAAAACTGAAGCAGAGACCCACGGAGTTCACTAGAACTGTAAGGAAACACTGCGGTCCCTGCTGCTGGTCCACTCACATGTGATTGCCTTGGCTCCAGCTCCCCCACCCCTGTGTGCACTGACACTGAGGAAGGGGAGGGCCCATCACGGTGCCTCAGGCTCCTCCACACGGCTGGAACTCCCACTGCAAGTGGGCTCTGCCAGAATCAGAGCATAAGCAATGTGTGCGAGGGTGGGGTGGGGGGACCATCAGACAGAGGCTGCTGCTCCCACTGGCGCAGCCACACCCTGAGCACTCATCCCTATGTCACAGCTCCCGGAACCACTACAGTCCCCACGCTTGTGGGCCCCCAAAGACCATGAGTCTCTCTAGCAGTATCTAGCAGTCTTTCCTTGGTAAGCACTGTGCCCACAGCCAGCCTTTACTGCTAAAGAGGCCATGAGGAGGTTGCTGTGCCCACAACCATCCCTTAGAGTTAAAGAGGCCATGTGGAGGTTGCTGTGCCCACAGCCAGCCTTTACTGCTAAAGAGGCCATGAGGAGGTTGCTGTGCCCACAGCCATCCCTTAGCGTTAAAGAGGCCATGAGGAGGTTGCTGTGTCCAAAGCCATCTCTTAGAGTTAAAGAGGCCATGAGGAGGTTGCTGTGCCCACAGCCATCCCTTAGAGTTAAAGAGGCCATGAGAAGGTTGCTGTACCCACAGCCGTCCCTTAGAGTTAAAGAGGCCATGAGGAGGTTGCTGTGCCCACAGCCATCCCTTAGAGTTAAAGAGACCATGAGGCACATGCTATGGCGCTCAGTGGAAACAAAGCCAATGTCAGGCTGCTAGGCACATCTTCAGGAGCAGACCGCTTGCTAGGAAGGCTACCCCATAAATTAATGGGGACACCTGGCCTACCAGCTGTGCAAATCTCAGTGTAGGGGGCACAAGAGATGTCCTGCAAAAGACACAGGAATCCATTGGCCCCAGAGACCCGCAGGGTTAATATGCACAAATACTTGACAAATGTAAAATAATGGTCGTGAGAAAACACGGTGAGATCCATGAGGCGACAGACTGATGGGTAAGTGGAAACCTATTTAAGAGAGTCCTCAACTCCAAGGTGGGTCCAAATCAAATGAGCTGCCGGTAATACACTTACGGGTATTAGCTATTATCAGAGTCTGACCCCATTCAGAAACTTAATGGGGGCCGGAGGGGTGGCTCAGTAACAAAGTGCTTACTGTGGAAACCTGAGGCCTGGGTTTGATCTCCAGTGTCCATATAAAAAAGCTGAATGTGGTGGGACCCTCAGAATCCTGGCACGGGGAGCCAGAGCTGGTGGATCACCGAGGTTTGCTGGATAGCACTGTAGCCTATGTGGCAAGTTATAGGCTGGTGAGGGTTCCTGTCTCAAAACCTAGTAGAAAAAGTAGACAGCATCCTAAGGAGCAATGTCTGAGGTTGATTTGTGGCCTCCATGTGCATGCATGCATGCACAAATATGTCCACATCCACCACACACATATCTACAGACATGCACACAAAACAATTGTTGTTTTTTTTTTTTTTTTTTTTTTTGGTTTTTCGAGACAGGGTTTCTCGGTGTAGCTTTGCGCCTTTCCTGGATCTCGCTCTGTAGACCAGGCTGGCCTCGAACTCACAAAGATCCGCCTGCCTCTGCCTCCCGAGTGCTGGGATTAAAGGCGTGCGCCACCACCGCCCGGCAAAACAATTGTTTTAACTAACAAGAACATCAATGTTTTTAAACCTAATGAAGTAATTTTAACTTTTTTTTTTTTCATTTTGGTTGTTTAAGACAAGGTTTCTCAGCCGGGCGGTGGTGGCGCACACCTTTAATCCCAGCACTCGGGAGGCAGAGCCAGGCGGATCTCTGTGAGTTCGAGGCCAGCCTGGACTACCAAGTGAGTTCCAGGAAAGGCGCAAAGCTACACAGAGAAGCCCTGTCTCGAAAAACCAAAAAAAAAAAAAAAAAAGACAAGGTTTCTCTGTGTAACGGTCCTAGCTGTCCTGGAACTTGCTCTGTAGACTAGGCTGGCTTCCAACTCACAGCGATCCACCTGCCTCTGCCTCCCAGGTGCTGGAATCAAAGGTGTGCACCACCACCGCCCAGATAATTTTAACTTTTGAAACTGAATAATGAACTTCTAAGTTGAAAGGTGGTACAAACCTGTAAAAACACACAAAAGAACTATTGGTCCACACACACTTTACACACGTGAATTTTGTGTGGTATAAGTTCTCTCTCAAGGGATCAGTTAAACAAACTCACCAGGAAATTTTTCCAGGCCTTCTGAATGATTGTTGCAGCTTTGTCCTTCTCTCCAGGGACTTGGGGTGATTCTTCAGGTATTTGGAAGTCCTAAAAGAAAAGTAAACAAAAGGAGAACCTTAAAATAATTGTATATGCTCTGCTGTGAAGCTGCTTCTGGAACCTAGTGGAATTTAAATAAAATTGTCTAAAAGAAATAATGAAATGAAATTTGGGATTTAAATTATATTCTTAATATATTACACTTTGTTTTCCTTTTTTTTTTTTTTTTTTGGTTTTTCGAGGCAGGGTTTCTCTGTGTAGCTTTGCGCCTTTTCTGGGACTCACTTGGTAGTCCAGGCTGGCCTCGAACTCACAGAGATCCGCCTGGTTCTGCCTCCCGAGTGCTGGGATTAAAGGCGTGCGCCACCAAGGAGATTTTTTTTAAAGATCTGTATTTGTGTGTGTGTGTGTGTGTGTGTGTGTGTGTGGTGCAAGTGCCCACAGCTGCTGGAAGGGGACATCATATTTCTTGGCACTGGAGTCACAGCCTTTTGAGAGCCACCCAATGTTGGTGCTGGGATCTGAACTCTGGTCTTCTGATAAAGCAGTAAACACCCTTAATCACCAAACCATCTCTCCATTCCCTGCAGAGATTTTTAATATGCCTGTGTTGGATGAGAATTCAAGATTTAAGGTCAAATAGTAAATAACTAGCCAGAGTTGAGCTCAGTCTATGTCTTTAAAGCCTGTGACCTTTACATACTTTGTTGTGTGACTTGAACGTAACCAACATGCATAGAGAAACAGCTGTAACTACAAGGTTGCCCAAGCCCCTAACCTAGAACTGGGGATTGTTTATAGACTTTCTTCCTTTCTTTTATTTTTTATTATTATTATTATTATTATTATTATTATTATTATTATTATTATTGAGACAGGGTTTCTCAGTGTAGCCTTGGCTGTCCAGGAACTCACTCTGTAGACCAGGCTGGCCTTGAACTCACATAAATCCACCTGCCTCTGCCTCCTGAGTGCTGGGATTAAAGGCATATGCCACCACCGCCTGGCTGATTATAGACTTTCTTAACCACATTGCCTACTTGATAGATCATGCACTACATCTTTAAAAAGATGAAATTTGAACTATTAAGGAGCAAAACAAATCGCTACTTGTACTTCAAAATTTTTATTTGAACTGTCAAGAGTAGTGGAGAAATCAGAGAGACATTCTAGTTTCCTATCCCTTCTAAAGCTCCCGAAAACTGTGTAAGGGGGTATGTGGATGACAAATTGTGCTACTCTAAGAGTGTTCTGTGGATTCTGCCAGGCTCAATTTTTATGTTAGCATATGAGATTAAAAAAACATGAAGGACTGGGGAAAGAGTTCAGGGGGTAACTTCTTGCTCTGCAAACATGAAGATCCAAGTTTACATGCCTGGCATCCATATAAAAAGCAGGAAGCTGTGGCCATCTGTAACCCCCGTCCTTAGCAGCATAGTGGGCAGAGACTGGAGGTTGCCAAGGGGCCCGCTGGCAAGCTGGTCTAGACAAAATGATGAGCTCCAGGTTCACCAAACCTGTCTGAACTAACGCATAAGTAGGGGCCGGAGAAATGGCTCAGTGGCAAAGAACATCTGCTGCTCTTTGAGAGGACCCGAGTTCAGTTCCCACCACCCACGTCAGGTGGTTCATAACTGCCTGTAACTCCAGATCCAGGGAATCTGATGCCCCTGGCCTCTGTGTGCACCTGTGCTTGTGTCTACATATCCTCTCTCTCTCTCTCTCTCTCTCTCTCTCTCTCTCTCTCTCTCACACACACACACACACACACACATACACACATACACACATACGAGAGTAGAGACTTTTATAGCCATTTTACATTGCTGTAGCATGTAAACATATAATCAGTGGGCAATATACATACATACACATATATGGTTTCCCCCTTTCCTAACAATTTTAATGACTGTTAAACATGATCTGAATTATGCTTTTAAAATATTGCTCTGGCTGGGCGGTAATGGCGCATGCCTTTAATCCCAGCACACAGGAGGCAGAGGCAGGTGGATCTCTGTGAGTTCGAGGCCAGCCTGGGCTACAGAGTGAGTTCCAGGGAAGGCGCCAAAGCTACACAGAGAAACCCTGTCTCGAAAAACCAAAAATAAATAAATAAAATAAAATATTGCTCTGTAAGGGTACAAAAGAAACATAAAAAGCCCTAAGCTATTATTTTTGCTTAGCCATGCATAAAGACAGCCATAAAAAAATTAGATTTATAAATCAGCACTCAGAACATAACACTCTTAGTTATTACAGCTCCCTACTATTTACAGTATTTCTGAGGTGATGTATGTCTCTTTCAGTATTTCTTACCAGTGGCACTCCTGATTCTTCAGGCTGTATTCTTTTCCTGTGAATGGTGGTGGGAGTGCCCCGTGCATGGTAAAATGCTTAGTCGAGTCCCTCTCTGCCCACCACATGCCATAGCACACTGTGACAACCACTGCTGTCTCCCAAGGGCTGGTGAGATTGTTCAGCGGGTAAAGGCACTTGCCACCAACCTGATGACCCAAGTTTGATCCCCATAAGGAGTGAAGGAGAGTTGCCCTCTGACCTCTACACAGGTGCCATGGCACATGTGTGCCAACACAATACACATACATGTAAAGTTAAAAAAATGTCTCCAGCAATTGCTGCGCTTGAAGAGCTGGTCTGCTGAACCTGCATGGTGGGAAGAGGAAGGGGAAGGGCTGGGGCCGCAGCTCAGTGGTAGAGTGCTTGCCCAGCACCCACAGTTCAGTCCCTAGCACTTCCAAAATGGTAACAATAACAGCAGCAATAATAGTGACAATAACAATAAAGGAGAGACTAGGGGTCTAACATTGCCTAGTGTCTCCCAATTCCTGAGGCCGTGACATCGACCAAAGGAGTATTTACACCATGAAAATTATCAAAGGCTTTAAACCAGTACTTAATATTTTTCTGGTTGACTTAAGATGTAAGGGTAATATAGTGATGTGTTAATAATACAGATTAAAGGTGTGGTGTATACATTGCCATCCCATGATGAATAGCATGATGATGCAGAAATGATCCCGAGGAAGAATGGCACTTGGCAGGAAAACAGAACAAAAATCGCATGCTCAATTGTCCCAAATATTGCTAGTGCGTTAAATGCTGGATCAGGTAAATGAGCTTAAGTAACGTCAGTAGCCATTTTTTTTTTTTTTTTTTTTTTTTAAAGAGAGAGAGAAAGCCAGAATTTTACCACGGAGCCCAAGATGCCTCTAAACTCACAGCCTCAGTCTCCTGAACGCTGAGTTTACTTACAGGCAGTGAGGAGCAGAGGGGAAAGACAGAGGTGGGTTGAGGATTGGAAAAGGAGGTAAAGACTCTGGAGTGTTATGCGGAAGCAGGGACACAGGAGCTGGAAGATGGAGCTGGATTCGATCGGACTTTTCTTAAATATGAGGCACTAAAACGTGAAAATGTTGTTAGAGATGGAGAAATTAAATGCACAAGGGAGGGTAAAGGAAATGCGAAATTCTTTGAATAAGGGCACGAAGGCTTCAAACTAATCATGTGAAAATACCACTTCTAAGACACAAGGAGTATGTGTAAACCGTTGCTCAAGTCATGACTTTACTATACCCACGTGCTCACTGCCGATTCCGACGTAAAGATAGCAAACCAACCTCTTGTCACGTGATTCAGAGGTAGGACAGCAAGCCAATCTCAGATCAATACCCTTGCTGTGTGTAGCTTTGACGCAGAAGCCGCATTCCCATCCTCTTTACTAAATTTTATTTTCTCAAGAAACGTGTCATGATTTTGCTTTTTCTCTTTACCTATAGACCTTTATACTGAGGGTCAAGGCAGAAGCCAACAGAAACCTTATTCGCGTACCCTTTAGAATGCTCTCTCCATCTCTAAATATTTTAGGGAGAAAACTTAAAGCCAAGTACTGCTGTGGGATGTTCTGTATGTCAAGTGTGTTGCTAATTGGTCAATAAATAAATCACTGATTGGCCAGTGGCTAGACAGGAAGTGTAGGCGGGACAAGGAGGAGAATAGAGCTGGGAAGTGGAAGGCTGAGTCAGAGAGACACTGCCAGCCGCCACGATGACAAACAGCATGTGAAGATGCCGGTAAGCCATGAGCCATGTGGCAAGGTATAGATTAATGGAAATGGATTAATTTAAGCTGTAAGAACAGTTAGCAAGAAGCCTGCCACGGCCATACAGTTTGTAACCAATATAAGTGTCTGTGTTTACTTGGTCGGGTCTGAGCAGCTGTGGGACTGGCAGGTGAGAGAGATTTGTCCTGACTGTGGGCCAGGCAGGAAAACTCTAGCTACAAAGTACTGCAGAGTGTGGGGAGGAATCCAGAGGTGAGAAGTGGGTTAGCAATATCCTCAAGGCTACAGCCCCCTGATTAAGGAGAGGCTGCAGAAGGGATTGGTGAGCTAGAAGAAAGCTTTTCCATCCGACCAGAGCAACTGCGCCAGGAGAGGGATGTATTGGAGCTCACTAAGGGTGGGGTGTTTAGGGTCCTGCAACCGGCCAAGTTCACACCAGGGAAGAAAGGAGCTGGGGAGGGGACACATCCCATGACTTGCCAATCTCCTAGCTCTCCGCTTGTTTCCTTGGTAACGACGCAGTGGGAAATGACAATAGCTCCTCCCATCTCAACCTTCTTCTTAGGCCCCGCCCCCAACCTTGACGGTTGTGGTTTGCTCTGATAGAAGCCCCCTCTCTTCCGTTCTTGGTGCTGTAGAGGCAAAGGACTTAGGAAAGAGAGATCGCCTGCATGTGACACGAGGCCGCAGTCTAATGCTATTTCCAAATTTGAGCTTCTTAGCGTGGCCCAGGCTTTAAGTAAAAACAGAGGACTTCCCATCAAGAGTGGAAAATAAGCTTGTCTGCCATCAGCCGCTCCTCGGGCTACAGGGTCTCCTAACAGGCTGCACAAGTGTCCTTCACCTGAGCCCACAAGCTGAAGGACTTGGAGCGAAGCACCTGCTGTTGCCTCTGTTGAGATCCGCTGCAGGAGACGGGTGGCTTGGGCAGCTCTAGCAGCCCAGAACAAGGTTCTTCAAAGGGGCCTGGCGGCCTGGGTGGAGACTCCACGTGCTCTGCCCCTGCAGGCTGGGGTGTTTTTAGGCAGGGGGGTCGCCGGCAGGGGCGGGGGGGGGGCTGCGGCTGGGACTAGATCATTCAGAGTTCAGATTTTTAAAAACATGTCTCAAAGTCTGGGATTATAATACCTCAGTCGTAAGATGTTTGCCTAGAAAGCCATGGACCCCACCCCCTCTCCAGCTCTCCCACGGAAAAAGCAAACAGTCAAACTCAGATACTCAAAACACAAATCTAAGAAACTAGCATCCTGACTTTCTCACCATGCCCAGACTCAGGAAACTGGGCACCGTGGGCCTGGTGGAGAACTTACCTAACGCTCCTAGGGACCAGTTCCTCTTCAGAACCCGATGACTAGGCCATGACAGCAGTTTTAGTTCAGTTACTCATGAGGATGTAACAGAGATGGAAGTCAGAGCAGGGCCTTCAGAGATGGCTCAGGGGCTAGGAGCATTGGCTGCTCTTGTAGAGTACCCAGGTTAGGTTCCCAGCACTCACATGGCAGCTTATAAGCATCTGTGACTCCAGTTCTGGGGGATTCCAACTCTCTTTTCTGGGCTCTGTGGGCACCAGCATGCATGTGGGGTATTAACATAAAGGCAAGCAAAAACTCACACACCAAAAATAAATAAAATCTTTTTAAAAATCATAAAAAAACCGGTTAGACTGTCATAAATATACCAGGCTGGTGATAATCTTTCTTAAAACAAAGTACATGGTTTCCAATTTTTATTAAGAAAATTTGCTTTATTTAAAAAAGAGTATATAATAAAGCCACATGACAAAATTCTAGACATAGTTTTTAATATGGCATCATGGAAAACACTAATATCATTTTCTTTTCCTTCTTATATCCTCTGTGGATTTCCTCTTTTACCAGGTTGACATTTTTATTGTACAACTTGACTTATATTCATAGTTAAGAAACAATTTAAATATTATAAAAAAGGTACAAAGCCAAATTTCCCTTCTCTCCATACCTTCCCCAACACTGGCAGTTCATCCCTCAAACTCAACCATTTTCTTTTTGTCTTTGGCAAAAGCTTTTCACATCCTGTGTCCTCTACCTCTGGTCCTCATCCTGTGTCCTCTACCTCTGGTCCTCATCCTGTGTCCTCTACCTCTGGTCCTCATCCTGTGTCCTCTACCTTTGGTCCTTCTTGGGCACATCGTGGGAAGCTCTCAGGCCGGCACGGTTAGAACGCTTTCTTCTCGTCAGCGGTGTGGGCTTGTCTCCTCAGTTCCTCCACTCATCAGCATTCACTGCCGACGGGTGACGGCCACTGAGAGTGTCGGAAGCCACGCGCACGGTTGACAGTTTATTCAAATGAACACAACTAGATCGTTACACCCTTACATTCCTCTCTCTTCAAAGGTCGGCTTAAAAATACCTTTGCTGAAGTTCAAATCTCCCTCCAACCCCTCCCCAGGCAGTCTCCTTCACTCTCTCTCAATCCATGGCTTCCGAAGCCAGATACACTTTAATAAAAATTTCAGGATTAAAAGCGGCTCATGGATATTGTGGGTAATAGGTGAGTTGGAAGGGAAAGAATCAGGGTTTAAAATCCAGTTTCTTTCACTAAGATATATTCAAGCTAATAAACCAAAAAGCTGTGTAAGACTCATTTCAAAGGCTGTGGTCAAGCTGGGGAGATGGGGGTTTATCTAGATTTCTTGACAGACTCGTTACAGTTTGGATGTGAAATGTCCCCTGCAGGTTCACGTTGAAGACTCTGCCT